CCAGAATCCAACTGCTTTACACAGGAGGCTCCAAACCTATGGTTAGCAGCCCAAAATGTAATCCTTTACACCATCAGGGCTCAGAAGAACTAAATATGTTATTAACCTATTTAACTAGATAGGACCTCCCATGAAACTGACTGAAATCTTACAAACCAAGGAACCAAACTCCACAAGTCTTGGTTGTACATCAGCAGCCTCAGCTGCTATTGTTTATGTCTGTAGTAAATAAAGAAATACGTTGTAAATCTATTAAACAATTTTTTGCCAATTCAGGTTTTTTTAAACAGATGTACAACTTCCAGCAATTACACAATCATCCATATTCTTTTCTTGCCTGTAATTTTAAGTAAACATGTTACTAGGGTTTTCTTCCACAGCACAACTAGATGGGATCAGACTGCCTATCTCTATGTTGTTAGGTGCCTTCGAGATGACTCATTTGTGACCCTATTAACAATAGATCTGACCTCTGTTCTGTCCTGTGCCATCCTCATCATCTGACACACTTGAGCCCACTGCTGTAGTCACTGTGCCAATCCATCTCACTGAGGGTCTTTTCCTGTGCTGACCTTCCACATTCTACCATGATGAAAAAGCATGTCTTTTTCAAATAGCCTCTCCTAGTAACATGCTTAAAGTATGTGAGACAAAGTCTCACTATCCTTTCCTCCGAGGAGCATTGTGGTTACACTTTTTCTAAGACATATCTGTCTGTAGGTTAGTAGTCAAGCACAGACCTAAGGACCTATGACTTAAGGACCATCATGAGAGCATAAGGTAGCATTTTTATGAGAGCATAAGGTAGCATTTTTATGAGTTATCCCCAGAAATCACATTGAGACACTTTCTCTGTTGACTGTGGAGGCAGTTACAAGGCTCAGCCTAGATTAAAGAGGAAAGGATATAGACCTAACCACTGTCAAAGTAATCATCTGTCAGTTTGTATTGTGGCTTGTCTGTTGCTGTGATATAAAATACTAGCACCTGTATTTAAAATAACCAGTACAGTCACCATGGTGGACAGGTTTCAGCAGAGCTTCTACACTAAGATAAAGCAGCAGATTAGACATACTTTGGGCATGCTGCAAGGAGGCACTGGTCCTTGGAGAGAGAGGGACATCATGTTTGGGAGAGTGGAGGGACAGTGCAGGAGAGGAAGACCCTCAATGAGATGGATCGGTTCTGTGAGTGGAGTGGTGGGAATGAGTGTGTTTGAGACGGTGAGGTTGGCACAGGATAGAATGGTGTATAGGATTCTTGAACATAGGGTCGCTGTGAGTCACTTCAATGGCACATAATAACATCTGAAATAAAAAGCGTGGTTTAAGGAAGGTCTTTGTGTTTACTATCTTCATTTTGTATTGTTAGTGAGCAGGGCCCAAGAGTTTGTTCTCATATCTCTACTTCTCTATCAGCTTATGGTTTTCAGACCATTTTCATAAACATTCAGTTTGACCCAGATCATTTTAAACTGGAATGATCCCCATTTCACAGGTAAGAAAGAGACTCAAAACTATTCAAGTGCTTTTCCCATGGCCCACCGTTTTCTCATTTCTTGCCCACAGCTTGGCCTGACTCAGGCTCTGGAGTAGAGAGAGTAGAGATCTCTGAGGAACATTTCTACCTCATGGAAGCCAGTCACTCCTCCTGCATCTGGTGGGCAGTGGGAAGGGCAGACTACGAAGTCAGAGATAAGTAATGTCTATCAGAGAAACAGGCTGGAGAGAGAAAAGTAGGGAAGACATACTGTGAAGGTTAATTTTACATGTCGGTTTGTCTAGGCTATGGTTTCCAAACACTAGTCAAGTCATGGCCAAGCTGTACTTACATGGGATTACATCCGCTGGCTTCCACAATGCGTTTTTATTGCTGTTAATTGTCACTAACTTGATTGTGACTCGTGGTGACTCCACATGTGCAGAGTAGAACTCCTCCAGGTTTCAAGGCTGTGCGCTTTCTGAAGCACAGTACCATGTTTTGTTTTGGTCTTTTGCCACCTGTCTCTAAGTAGGTCTAACCCAACAACCTTTCAATAAGTAGTCAGGTGTAAGCCATTTACGCCATCCAGGGACTGCTTGCCATCTATTAAAGATGAGCTTCCATAATGAAATTCAATGTAATGTAATCAATCAATCAATCAAGGTCCTACTTAAACTTCATCACTTTTGAGTTACTAAAGACCAAAAAAGGTACACACGGCCCCCTCCTTGCCCAGAGAAAGACAGGTCATGTTGTGAGTATTGCCTCCAAGCAAAGTCAACAAGCACCTCTAGCAGACAACAGCCATTAGAAGATAACCTGATGAGAGGAATGAATAAGACTGCTATCCTGATGTGGACGGTGAGCTTTCGGAATGGTGAGATGATAAATGTCTGTCCTTTAAAGGCACACATTGGTGGTATCTGTTACAGCAGCACTGGGTTAACTAAGATACACAGCTGGTCAGTAGAAAGGGCCCAAGATAAGGACATAAGAAAACAAGGTTAAAAAGGAATAGGAGTCTAGTCATCAATTAACTATGGAGAGTCTTGGTAGCCCCTCACCAGTTAGCGTTTATGCCAATCTGTTGTGGTTTATTCATAATCCAAGGGATTTTTCTTAGGGGAATTAGGGAAATAAAGGCACTATTACCTCTTCTTTGGGGAGAAGGATGGGCAGTCTACTCCCATGCAATTAACTACCTCTGAAAACCCACCGGCAGGTCAGCTATGGGTCGGTTCTGACTCCATGGTATACAACAGCAAAAACTTATTTACACAGTATCAGAAATAAGATGTTAGGAAGTAGGAGACTTCAGTTGATGGAATTATGTCAGATGCTCAGAAGCTGATGATGTTTGGCAGGATGTGACAAGCTGGGCGGAAGATGCCTACTGCAGGCAGTAAAGTCTAACTGTGCTGTTTTAAGAGTTCAGCAAGTCCAGGAAACCACCAATTGTTACTCAGTTGACTCCCAATTCATGGCAACCTCGTGTGTTGGAGTAGACCTGTGACCTGTAGGGTTTTTTTCTCTCCCCATCAGGTGGCTTATTTTCCCAAAATCACTAGGTTTTTCTTTCAAAGTGCCCCTAATCTTTCAATTAGTAGCTACATACATCACTGTTTATATCATTCAAGGAAAACATGAACCTAAGAGGGCCATTTAAATATGTTTGATGATGAAAATGATTCCGTTGGGAAAAACTGGCAAAAAAAGATTTCTCTAATCATCTTGAATCATTAATTAAATGTTTAATGCAAACATTTTCAAAGAAAAAAAAATTCCCCTGAAAATACTTAATGGTGGTAACTTCTTGAGATGGTGGTTTTACAAAAAGATGTGTCAGCAGATGCTTTTTTGAAGGGGATGAGGGGAGAGTATCAGCAAATGACTTTTTTTTTCAACTGCAGTGAGAATAACAAGGAATCCTCAGTGTGTGCGTAGACACCCCCCACCCTCCCACCACGACTTTATGCAAAAAGTAAAAACGAGCAATAGTCACTAGCAGGAGACAGTTCTGCTCTAAGTGCTGAGAGTCTCTTCAGGCCATTATTACTCTGCACTCTAACTGGATTCAGAGCCAACTGGGCCAAGACAATGAGTCAACTCCCTAATTTTGTCATAGCTCATTCAGTGCTGCTGAGTCCAGTTAGACTCGCAGCGAACCTACGTGTCTGAGGTTGTAAATCTTTTCTAAGAGGAAGGAGACTGCTTATCTTTCTCTCATCGAGCTACTGATGGAACTGAACTTCTAACTTTGGGGTTAGCAGCCTAATATGCAATTCACTATTCCATCTTGAAAATAATATAAAGGCTTTGGTAATTCAGGTAAGAAAATTAATCAGTAGCCAGTTGCTATCAAGTTGACTCTGGTGCATGGCGATGCCATGCATATCAGAACAGAACTATGCTCCACAAGGTTTTCAATGTCTGAGTTTTTACAAGTAGACTGCCAGGCCTTTCCTCTGAGGTACCTCTGCATGTACATGAGCCTCCCAGTTTTTGGTTAGCAGACTAATGTGTTAACCATTTATTTGCACCTCATAGGGACCTTGCTGAGGGACTACCATGCATTGTATGTGTAAGAGAATACAATATACAATAGTATAATACAGTATGTGTAAGAGAACACTTACTCTCATTGCAGTCTCTTACACAATACAGTAAGTATTCTCTTAGTACTGTCATGTTTGTAGGGTACAACAGGAAAGCACACAATAAATTAACATGGACTTTGACTCATGAGCAGGTGTGGCGTTTGAGGGGCTGGAAGTGCCAAGCAGCTGAGTTCCCAGTACAGGTGTGGGAAAGATGACTACAGGAGCAGGAAGGAGTCTCTTCTTTAACAAGGTATACAAGGATACAGGCCATGTGGTCAGTTAGAGGACAAAGCCTCCCCCATCCTTCATGCAGAGCAGGTCCTACACCCCACAACCTCTGCCCTAGTCAGGGGGTTTCCAAGAATCATCTGCTGACCAGGGCCAAGCCACATCTACTGATGTGTACCCCTGCTGGTGGCAGATCCATCCCATCTGTGTCATTTCGGTAAATTATCTGGTTAACATAGAATTGGAGGATGTAGCTCAGTAAAATAAAGTGCTTTCAGTGAGAGTGGCTGCTACTTCCTGGTGGTTCCTCATGTCACCTGAGGCACACAAATCAACAATATGAAGGGTGACACTACCAAGAGTGAAAACTGTGAGAGCAAGCTTGCTTTTGATGTTAGCTCACTCTTCTAAATGTATTTCTCTATTGGTTTCCATGTCTTTGTGTTACCAACTCTTAACTCTTTGTTGGATAAGAACTGTTTCTATAACAGGGTAGAAAACACAAGGAAGAAGTCTATAAATATTTGCTGAAGACTCCATTTGTGAAGGTGAAAGAAAGGGGGTTATGACAAAAAAGGTCACGCTCCATGCTGAATCCAGACGTATATCCAGAGATGAGATAAGGTTCAGCTTCTGAGAGTCCAAATATCAAACTAAGAGTATATTCTCAGTCCACACACTTGGGAACTGCTATAACACACTGGCATCTTCCATGGCCTCAATCCATCTGCAAAAGAAAAGAGCAAGGACTGACTTTTATGGCTTTGCCTGGCCACAGAATCTATAATACCTGACTGAACTTGAAGTTAGGGACCATGTCATATTCACATTTGTTTCCCTAGGACTTAGTGAAGGCCTAGGACATGGTGAAGCTTTGTCTCACAGTTGGTTATCAGGAGACGCTAGACTTTAGAAAAGGACATCATGCTTGAAAAGGTGGAGGGTCAGTGAGAGAGGAAGAATTTCAGTGAGGCAGAATGGTCACAGTGACAATGGGCTCCAGTATATTAGAGATGATGAGGATGGCACAGGACAGGGCAGGGTTCAGATCCACTGTTTATAGGGTTGCTGTGAGTCACACTTGACAGCATCTAAGAACAAAAAGCACACATTACAGGAATTGTCTAAATGTATTATCTGTCATAAGTCTAGGGTTTCAGACCAATAAAGAATTCTGCTGTTATGCATTGGCATGAAAAGGCATGATAAGATGTGATGGTTAGAGAACAGGAGCTGAAGCCTTGCGTATCAACTTATTTCCTTTAGACAGAGGCATGCGGGGTAAAAGGTTACTGATGCTGATACCTCCGAGCTGAACTGGTATCTTCTGCTTTGAAGCTATAAAATAGAGTTTTCTTGTGGTAAAGGTGAAAAATTGGTCCTACTTCACTGCTGCCCTCTTCCTTCTCTGGAGCAATGGTGAAACCCAGCAGAGGCATACTCTCCATGGCCACTTTGTCCTGCAGAGGAGAGAGCGTGAAATTAAGCACTGCATGGCACACAGTCTGGAGCTTGGCTCTTACTGTCACCTCCAATCTCAGGTACATGAAGAGCTCAGATACATGAAGAACCATATATGGGATCTTGCTAGAATAAGGAAAGAAATGTACTATTTCATGACAGCCTATTACTAAGAACTAGGTCTTCATTTTCTTAATTTTCACAGTAGTCATAGAAGAAGCTCCCCTAATCAAAGAAGAAACAGAACCTTACAGAAAATCCTTTTTCCAACATCAGGCAGCTAATTGGAGGCAGAACAAGTATTTGGACCCCTATTCTTCCCACTGACTCAGTTTATTAGTGATGACAGCATCTTGTGATTTCCTAACTCATTTCTCCATACCATTAACAAGTGCCTGAAGAAGAACTCAGGGTTCCTGTGCTATGACACTGTGAACAAGGTCAGCAGTGTCACTGTGGAGGCTGAGGGGGGCTATGGTTGCACGAGGTGACACTGTCAAGAGGAGAGGGCATCAAAATGACGGTCTTTAAAACTTTTGTGCAAAATTTATTATTTTTATTACCAATATCCCTGTAGTTTGCTGTAACAATATGAAAATTTTTCATAAGGCCAGCTTACACATATGAATACACTATTATTGTTCTGTGCTATGGAGCTGGAACCGACTTACAGGTTTTCAGAGACAGTAAATCACACTAGTGGAGCCTGCCCATCTTTCTCCTGCGAAGCAGCTGGTGGGTGTGAACTGCCGGTTGGCAGCATAGCTCCTTCCCACTAAGCCACTTGAGCTCCCTACAAGGCTGTACTAACAATATACAAACTAAGCTGAAACACGATGCTTTTTGAACTTCCTAATGCACTCAAGTCAGTGCTGTCATCATTGCCTAATTATGACACTTCACACTGCATGGTTTTGCCCATCTATGCATACGTGCACGGTTTTCATTGCTGCTGATGTGTTTACAGTCACTGATACTTTTTTTTTTGTTTCAGCTACAACACTGTGATAATTGGTATTTGTGAACCTATATAAAAAATGTTTTTGAGAGTGAAGTGTTCATTGAAGGAAAGAAGGAAAAACATCCAAAAATGCTTCCATTAAGTTACTAATAATGCTATATTGAGATTGTAAATAGCTTTTGTTTACTTGGCTCCACAATCAACACTCTTGGCACCAACAGTCAGGAAATAAAAGAAGTATTGCATTAGGAAAGTCTGCTGTCAGAGCCCTCTCCAAAGTACTGAAGAGCAATGATGTCAGGCTGGAGACTAAGGTGAGCCTGATACAGGCCATGGTCTTTACAATCACTTGCTATGAGTCAGAGAGCTGGACAATGACTAGGGATGACGGAAGGAGAACTGATGCCTTTGAGCTGTGGTTCTGGAAGAGTGTTGAATATATCATGGACTGTTAGGAGAACAACTTCATCTGAGAAAGGGTGAAACAAGGCTGCTCCTTGAAGGCAAAGGATTCTGAAGCTTTCACATACTTTGGACATGCTGCAAGGAGGGACCAGTCCTTGGAGAAGGACATCATGCTTGGGAGGGTGGAGAGACAGCGCAAGAGAGGAAGACCCTCGATGAGATGGACTGATTCAGTGACTAGGGTAATGGGGGTAGGTTTGTCAGAGACAATAAGATTGGCACAGAATAGAAGAGGGTTTAGGGCTGTTGTACATAGGGTCGCTATGAGTCACAGGCAACTCGATAGCACATAACAACAACATCATATATATAATTCAATGTAGAAAGATTTTAGAAAACAGCTTTGTTGTTCTCAACTCCTTTCCCCTGAGTGACTTCACAGCTGACCCTTCTTTGGGTTTCCAAAGTTGTCAATCACCCGGGAGGAGCTTGTCCACCTTTCTCGTGAGGAGCCACTGGTGAATTCCAACTATGAGAGAGAGGGTCAGCGTTGGGTTGGCAGTGCAACATTCCATGACAGACTGCACCTCAGAACACCTTCCAATTTGTTGTTCTCATTCATTCCCACTGCCCTTGAGTTGGAACCAACTCACAGCTGATCTTCCATTGAATTTATAAGGTTGTAAATGGAAAGGGAGGAGATTGCCCATCTTTCTCCTGAGGAGCTGCTTAATGGATTCAAACCATTCAAGAGGTGTGACCTTTGGGTTAGCAGGAAACTCCCTATGGACTAAGCCAGCAGAGCTGCCTATTTTGTTGTTTTTTAAAACAAAAACAACAAATCTCATATGACAACAATCTGGGATAAGAGATTCATTGCAGTAAGAGATTCTGGGAGGGGGGAAGGGAAATGAGGGAGGAAAATGTGCAACACTGAATATTAAAAAATATGTACGGGAATGACTATGAAACATAATGTCAATGATGGAAAGTGTGAAACACACAAAAACCACTATGGATGTGAATGAAACACAGTGTATATGATAAATATATGCATACCAATAAAACTACAGAGGTGAAAATATATGAGAGTATAAAAATATATTTTTTAAAAACTATCCCTCAAACTCACTGCTGTCAGGTTGGAACTAACTCCATGGGGTGTCTGACGCTCTAAAGTGCATGGGAGGAGACTGCCCACCTTTGTCCCAAGGACTGGCTGTTGGATTCGAACCACTAGCGAGGCTCCACCTTTGCCACTGAGCTTACTCTGACAGTGGATCTCATCATCCCTGACGTGCTGGAGAACACTGCTGTAGTCACTGTGTTGATCCATTGCTAAGGGACTACTGTTCTTATAAAATCTAAGAAACACTTAAGCAATTAGTGGCTTAGGAACTGGGCTAACAAGTCAAAGGTACGTGGTTTGAATCCACCAACTGCTCTGTAGGAGAAAGATGGGCAGTCTCCTCCCATGTGATACAATAATGCCTCTGAAAACCTGCTGGGGGTCAGCTCTGTGTCAGTTCCAACATGACAGCACACAACAACAATCACCTATTAATCTGTGATTAAAATTGTTAATACAATACAAAGTGTGTATGGTCTGAAAGAGAAGAAAGTATGCTGGTTAGGAGGAAGGGTGACACCAACCCTACGGTTACTACTGGGTGAGATGTACCCAGAGACACACAGATTGAGAGTAAATTCGCAGCATTCAGTGGAAAAGAACAAAGTTGAAGGACTTAACACAACCTGACTTGCCACTTAGCTACAGCAATTAAGGCAGTTTCGTACTGACATAAATCAATGAAATACAATAGAGTCCAGAAAGAGACCTAAATTTATGAATTTGTTTGACATTTAACAATGACATCAAAGCAAAGACACCAACAGAAAGTCTTTCAGCAACTGGTGCTGGTATAAATGGGTATCTGGGGGGTGGGAGGGTATAAATGAACTTGGCGTCCCATGTCTCACAGTATTCACAAAAACTGATTTAATACATGTTCAAGTATTATTTAGAAGACCTGCACAAGTTAATATAGTAAATGTGTAATAGTGTGTTCTTCCTATCTTAAGAAAAACTGAACTGATCCATATGAATCATGGTGTTGGTGACATATCACTGAACAAATTAGTCTAGGAATAAATACCACCAGAATTCTTCCTAAAATCAAGAGTGGTGAGTCTTCATCTTGGTTACTTTGGATACATCATCAGGAAAGACCAAATGTCTTAAAAGTGCATTATGTGAAAAAAGGAAAACCCTCAGTGAAATACACTGACACAATGGCTGGAACAATGGGTTCAGACATAGCAAAGATTACGAGGATGGTGCAGGACCAGGTGTTGTTTTGTTCTATTACATAGATAAGGTCACCATGAGCTGGACGGGAGCTCTGGTGGCCTTGTGTTGCAGCTGTGCTGCAGTTCCAAAGGCACACGATTCGAATTCACCAGCGGCTCCACAGGAGAAGGATGAGTAATCTCCCATGCAGTTTAGTGCCTCTGAAAACCCACTGTAGGGTCTGCTATGAGTTAGTTCTGACTTAAAAGCACACAAAAATATGAACTGGAGTCCACTGAAGGCAACTAACAAGAGTTCACTCTAAGCTGCTACATTTTGCCTCCAGTGACTGAAATGGCAAGCACAAAGGAGCTTTACTGAGTGTCTTGCTTGCACTGTATGCTGAGGCAGTGGAATTTAACATGTGGTCGCCTATTTAACATCTGATTGCACCTCTTATCGCCACAAAGAAATGGAAAATTCCTTCTATTTGGAGCTGCCAGAGGTGGTGTGACCATAGCAACTGTGGGCACAAGGTATTGCTCAATAAAGAAGGGATTAAAATAAGTATAGTGCCAGCATCTCAGACTCTCCCCTCCAAAACCTTAAATGCCTTTGCACAAAATGTGGTTTAATACCTACCTCGCTGGCCATGTAGGTATAGAGAACTTTGCCTTTGATGACAAACCAGAGCTTCTTCCAGTGTCTCTTGCCCTTCTTATATCTGCTGAGATAGCCGCTGATGGCACAGCCCTCTCCAGAAGCAGCCACCTGGTGGGAGGTAAGCAGAAGTGCTCAGGGTCTCAGGTGGTAGCACTTGGCACACAGAAAATGACACTGCACACCAGATGTTGGAGCATTTATACGGCTTTGAAGGGTGATACCTGATTACGGTCTCAGGACCCATCAAATATAAAGTCAACAAACTAAAACTTCATGGTTTGAAACAGGATTTTACTTACAGGAGATCAAAGCTGCCTTCAGAAGTGCTGCACCCCCTAGTTAAAGTTCTTGTCCCCTCTCGCCAGCACAAAACTGCTGCTACTTAGGCAAGAGGTTCTCCCTTCTAAAATGGATTAAGTTTTTCAGCTTATCATGTTCTTTTATTTAAGGAGGGATCCTTTGGTACTATTTGCCTGAAGAGTTGATGATGTGCCCAATGGAGTGAGAGAGAGAGTGGGAGTACTCTTTTTATTGTTTTAATCATTCCACTGAACAGAAAAATAATATTCTCTGTGGTGGTTAAGAACGCAGGGGAGTCATGGGGTAGTGCAATTAACATGTTCAGCTGCTACCTGAAAGGTTGATAGTTTGATTCCACCTGAAATTGGCTTCAAGAAAGGCCTGATGATCGACCTCCAATAGATGAGCCACTGAAAATTGTGGAGAACATAGATCTACACTGACACATATGGAGTGGCCATGAATTGGAGTCAACCTGACCACAACTAAAATTGTGTTTTAAGAACACAGTCTGGGAGTAATGTCAATTTGGGGCTGCTATCCAGGCTCTCCCTAAGCTGAACAGGACAATTACTACCTTCCTCTTAAGTCTCAGTTTCCTTTCTAGTAAAAAGGGAATAAAAAGACACATGCATAATACCTGACCCAATCCATATTTTCACATATAATACGCCCACGTAAATAGCACATAAGCAAATAGAACATGCATAGAGAACAGAGGAACTTCACCTCTGAGGGATAGTGCAGTCTGGGGAAAACCTCTGAAAGTGTATATAAAAATATAGTGAAATGTTCAGTATATATTCATCAGACTTTCAGAGCAGAAAGGCCAGGCTCTGATATAATTTCATCTGATCTCTCATTTTATGGCTAGAAAAGCTGCAACTACATTTCAATAAGATCAGTATCAGATTAGACATTAAAGCACAGGGGTAAAAAAATGCCCTCAATGTTTAATCTACTGAACTATTCCATCATTTTTACAATGTACTTTTCCTCCAATTTTTCCAGACTCCAAACTTTGCATTCGTGTTTCTTTAGGCTCTGAAGCTCACACAGCTCTTGAAGAAGCAGGTACCCCAGGGGAGCCAAGGAGAAAGGTCAGAGAGTTTTGGATTCAGGCTTCATTCACTGGAGTACTGGAGCAGAGCCTACACCCCCAGGGGAACTCAGGGTGGGATCTGAGCAGTGCCTTTTAAGCAGGAGAGGCAAAAGGGAGGCACCTGGATCAGATTAAAAACAATGGTCCAGGGAAGCTAAATTTTCAGCAAACCTACTATACTGTAAAAAATGGGCTCAGAGGAATGGAGGAGCCTAATGAAGGTTAAATCCCTACTTGGCCAAAGAATAATTGTAAAAACTTAGATCTCAGCAAATACTCCTTTTACCACAGCAGAAAAGGAATCCACAACCAGCTCAGGCTATTCTGAAAAGTACCAGGAACTTGGTATAAATCCTGCCCTGACAAAGATACTGAAACCCTTTCTGGCAGACACTGGCTTTCCTTCCTCATTTGCATCAGTGGATGAAAGAGACCAGAGACCACAGGAAGTCAGACACTGAGTAAGATGGGTTCAATAATGTATACTGCACTGAAGCAGAGGAGGGAGAGAACCGTCTAAAAGAGAGATGTAACTGGGTATTTCTGTCATCACAGGAGACTAGAGCGAGGGCTGCATGGTGGAGGGGACCTGGGGGAGGGTTTGTAAAACAATGAAAGAATCTTTTCTTTTACTTTTCCATAATTTTTGGACTCATGTACTTATAACTTGTTAGTCAAATTTGTGTCTTCTAGGTTGCAACACCCCCATGATACATCTTGAAGGATATGTACATGTACAGCCAAGCACAATCAATGAGTGCATCTGAATTCCAAAATCAATCTCCATAAGGGTCTATGTGTTTCCTACTGCCAAAGGGGCCCTTTAGAGTAGTGAGAGAAGATCTTCACCCTGAAACCCACAGCGTCCCTTTTCAGCAGGAAGTAGCTAAGAGAATACGCCGTCCCCTTTTCCTTATGACTCAGGGTGAAGTCTCTCTCAGGGAGGAGTGATAGGGAATGGCAAAGGATACACTGACAAAGAAGATTAATCAGAACTGCTTTGACAAGCACTGTGGCATTTGGACAAGAACAAACTGGGAGGAGGGTAGAGAGAATAGTGCAACAATGAATGAGTGGAAGCCCAAAATCTCTGTAAATGTTTATGAAAATTAATAAAATATAATTATAGAAAAAAAAAAAGAGTGCTTTGTAGCATCCCTCTGGAAGTTTCCCCTGGGGCAGCTCATTTTCATAATTTGAGAGGCAGGTCTTACTGAGGTTGGGTACTTGGGAGAAGGGGAAAGGATCAGAGACTTTGGAGCACATTTCTTCTGCAGTCCCTGCAGATCTGTGGAATGGATATAGTCTGTGCTAGGCCAAAAACAACCAAGGGGCTAGTTGAGGTCAAGCCATAAGGTACGGAGATCATATGAGATTGACTCCAGAAGGCCTGCTCGCTCTTTGATTGATAATAATGGTGCTCAAAGTCAGAACCCAAGGGTTACTCAGAGTATATGAGCTTGACTCAGGCAGACCATCACTAAATAGGAAGCTGAGTGGTCTTAATGTTCGGGAAAGGTCTAGTTCAGCAGATAATGACATAACCACAAATTACACCAAAAAGGTGAGATTTATGTGTATGCTATTATATGGAATGATACCTAAAATTAGAAGTAAAAGTGTACATAAGATTCAGTTTTATGTTACCTTTTGGGAGAAAATAGGATCTATGAATGCACATTTGCATGGGGTGGGGTGGGGTGTGTGTGTACGTAGGACAGGATTCAGAGCTATTGTACGCCGGGTCACTATGAGCAGTAGGCGACTTGTTGGCACATAACAACATTAGATGGAGAAGAGACGAAGGTTGTTTCATCTTGCTTAGATCCACAATCAACATTCTTGGCACCAGGAGTCAGGAAATCAAAAGACAACATGCTTTTGAAAAATCTGCTGTCAGGGACCTCTCCAGAGTGCTAAAGAGCAACAGTGTCAGTCTAGAGACCAAGGTGTGTCTATTCCAGGCATGATCTTTACAATTACTTGCTCTACTAAGGATGACAGAATGATGTCTTTGAGCTGTGGCCCTGGAAGAGTACTGAACATAGTATGACTGTCAAGAGAATAAACAAGTCTGTCTTGAAGAGGTGAAACCAGGTTTCTTTCTCCTTGGAAGCAAGGATTTTGAAGATCCATCTCACACACTTTGGGCATGTTGCCAGAAGGGACCAGGCCTTGGAGAAGGACATCATGCTTGGTAGCATGTAGGTTCAGTACAGGAGAGGAAGACCCTGGATGAGATGGATTAACACAATGACTGTGGCAGTGGGGGTAAGTGTGTCAGAGACAATGAGATTAGCTCAAGATTGGACAAGATTCAGAGCTATTGTTCATAGGGTCACCATGAGGTGTAGTCAATTTTATGGCACATAACAACAACATATGCAGATACTGACCCTATGAACAATAGCTCTGATCCCTGCCCTGCCCTGAGCCAGTCTCATTAATTCCAACACACCAACTCCCATTGCCCCAGTTGCTGTATCAATTAATCTCATCCAGGGTTGTCCTCTCCTGTGCTGTCCCTTCACCCTTCCAAGTATGATGTCCTTATTCATGGACTGGTCTCTTCTGGCCACGTGTCCAAAGTATCTGAGACAGAACTTCAGAATGCTAGCTTCCAAGGAGAAACTTGGCTTCACCCTCTCCAAAATAGACCTACTTGTTTTCTTGGTGGTCCATGGTATGTTCAAGACTCTTCTCCAGCATCACAACTCAAAGACATCGATTCTTCTTTTGTCATCCTTAGTCATTGTCCAGCTCTCTGATGCATAACAAGTAATTGTGAAGACTATGGCCTGCACTAGGTGTGCCTTAGTCTCTAGACTAACATCGTTGCTTTCAGTACTCTGGAAAGGTCCCTGACAGCATATGTATTAAAAAAAAAACCAGAGAAGGTGTGTAATGTCAGGCTTGTATCCTTTCTCCATACCTATTCAATTTGTATGCTGAATAAAGCAAGAAGTTATACTCTATGAAGAATGCAGCATTAGGATTGGATCACAACTCATCAACAGCCTGAGGTAAGTAGATAATACATCTTGCTTGCACAAAATGATGAAAACTTGAATGAAGACCAAAGACTACAGCCTGAATTCAGTGTGGATTACATTTCAAATCAAGAAAACAAAAACCCTCACCACCAGATCAATAAGCAACATCATGACAGATGAAAAAAGTTGAAGTTGTTAAGTATTTCCTTCTACCTGGATCCACAATCGATACCCATTGTGGTAGCAGGCAAGAAATCAAAAGATGTGTAACACAAGAAAATCTGTGAAGAATCTCTTTAAAGTGCTAAAGAACAAGGATGTCAGTTTAAGAACAAAAGTATTTTCCATTGCTTCAGTATGCAGGTTGGACAATGAACAGGAGGCTCAAAAGAGGTATAAGGACACCTTGGAACTGTGCTCTAAGAGTACTGATTATCCCATGGGCTGCTAAAGGAAGAAATATCTATCTTGGAAGAAATGCAACTAGGGAGTTCTTTAGGGCCAAGGATGGTGAAATTTTGTCTCACATACGCTGGCATGCTGCTTTGAAGGAACAGTCCTTGGAAAAATACACTGTCCTTAGAAAGCTGAGGGTCATCAAAAGAGAGGAGGACTCTTAATGAGATGGAATGATACAGTGACTGCAACAATAGGCTTGAGCAGGGCAGAGATTATGACGATGCACAGGATAGGGCAAGGCCTTGATCTGCTAGTCACAGTCACTATGTGTCACAGCTGACTGTACAGCACGTATCAACAACATATTTACATATATGAAGCCCAAACTCAAACTCACTGCTGCTGAATGGATCCTGACTCACAGTGACCCCCCATGGAATTTTCAAATCTTCATGGGAGGAACTGCTCATCTTTTTCCCATGGAGCCGCTGGTGGATTCAAGGATTAGAACTGCTGAAGAAATAATGCACTAGCAGCACATCATGTAATAATACACTATGCTTTCAGGGCTCCACAGATGCACACATACGTTTCTGTGTGTGTGCATATATATTCATATACATTTCTAGAAGGATTAATAAGAAACTTGGTTGTGATTACCTCTGGGATGGGAGTGAAGGATTCTTGGGAAAGAGAAGGAAAAAAATCATTTTTCATTCTATATTCTTTTATGCCTTTGTGATTACCTCCTCCCCTCCCTACTTACTGTGTTATGGATGGAATGGTTTCCTCCCAAAATGTATCAACTTGGCTAGGCCTTTCTGAGTGATTTTGCAATTACTCTGATTAAACCATCCCACACGATATGATATAATACAATCAGTTCATCAGTTGTAAGGTTGTTCTTAGGTAGAAAGCTGACCCTTCAGCAGGTTTTCAGAGGCAGTAAATCACATAGGAGGAGACTATCGAGAAGCAGCTGATGGATTCAAACCTTCAGGATGGCAGCATAGCTCCATCCCCCTAGGCCACCAGGGCACCCTCTTGTTAGGTGCTGTCCAGTTGACTGCAACTCATAGCAAACTTTATGAACAGTAGCCCTGTGCCTTGCCCTACCCTAGGCTAACCTCACCGTCTATGACACACCTAAATGCATGACCTCAGTAACTATGCTGATCCATCTTATCCAGGGTCTTCCTCTCCTGTACTGACCCTCCGCCCTTCCAAGCATGATGTCCTTCTCCAAGGCCTTGTCCTTCCTGGCAGCATACCCAATGTATGTGAGATGGAGCTTCCAAATCTTTGCCTCCAAGGAGCAATCTGGTTTCTTCTACAGGACGTATCTGGGGTTTTTCCCCCTTGGCAGTCCATAGTGTATTCAATACTCTTCTCCAGCATCACAACCCAAAGGCATCAATGATTCTTCTGTCATCCTTACTCATTGTCCAGTTCCTTGATGCATAGCAAATAACAGCAAAGACCATGGCCTTTGGACCATGGAATAGGTGCATCTTGGTCTCCAGACTGACGCTGTTGCTCTTTAGCACTCTGGAGAGGTGCCTGACAGCAGACTTTCCTAATGCAATATGTCTTTTTTCTTTCCTGACTGCTCGTGCCAAGAGTGCTAACTGTGGATCCAAGCAAGATGAAATTACTGATGGTCTCAATCTCTTCCCTACCTATTATAAAGATTGGTCTGGTGGTGAGAATCTTTTTTTCTTGATGCTCAACTGCAATCCATATTGAGCACTGCAGTCCTTGACCTTCTGGAGCAAACACTTCAAGTCCTCCTCAGTTTTAGCAAGCAAGTTGTGCCATCTGAATAATGCAGGTTGTTGATGAGTCTTCCTCCAATCCTGATGTCACATTCCTCCTCATAAAGCCCTGCCTCCTGAATACAGATTGAAAAGGTATGGAGACAGGACACAGCCCTGACACAGTCTTTTCCGGATTTTTTAATTGACTGTGCAAATGCATTTTGACTGTGTAGATCACAAGAAATGGTGGCTAACATTGAGAAGAATGGGAATCCCTGAACACCTAATTGTGCTCATGTGAAACCTATACTTGGACCAGGAAACAGTCCTCACAACAGAGCAGGGGAAACACTGCATAGTTCAAAATCAGGAAAGGGACTGTGTCTCTGTACCATTCCAGCTGATTTTAGATCACTTTCAGCAGGATTTTGCAAATGTATGATACTGGTGATATTGTTAGATACTTTCCACACTCTACTGGATCATCTTTTATTGGAATGAGAAAAAATGTGGATCTGGTCAAGTCAGTTGGCCAGAAGGCTGTCCTCCAGATTTCTTGGCACAAACTGGTGAGCACATCCCAGGCTGCTTCTGTTTCTTGAAACATGTAAAGTGGTATTCCATCAATTCCTAAGGCCTTGCTTTTTGCCAATTCCTTTAGGGCTTGAACTTCCTCCTTCACCACCATTGCCTCTTGATCTTTACACAAAACTCTTCCATGCGTGTACACCTTCCATCTTTTGAGGCTTCCTGGATCATTCAATATTCTGCCCATAGCACCTTTAAGTACTGCAACTCGAGGCTTTCATTTGTTCTTCAGTTCCTTCAGCTTGAGAAATGCTGAGCGAGTTCACCCTTTCTTATTTTCTGACTCCAGCTCTTTGCACATGTTGTTATAATACCATGCTGTCTTTCCATTTGAAATCTTCTGTTCAGCTCCTTAACTTCCAGATTTCTTCTCTTTGCTTTGGCTTCTCTGCATTCCTAAGTGCAATATTCAGAGTCTCTTCTGACATCCATCTTGGTCTTTTCTCCCTTTTGTTTTTGTAATGACCTTCTGTGTTTTTCATGGATGATATTCTTTTTCTTTTTATAAAATTTTAATTTTATACTGGTTTCCTTACAAAGTTTGTATACATTGTTTCTCACACAAGATCTTTCCCCTTTCCTTTACCCATACCTCCTTCCACCCATCAAATTATACAACCCTATGATTAAGCACCACCACTCCCATCCTCACCCCTCTGCTCCCTCCTCCCTGCCTTGGATCCTCACACTCATTCTACAATAATGGTCTTATACAGTAAGTGAGCACACAAGTATGTACAGATCAAACAGTATGTATGTGTACACATATACTTCCAGAGAGGACACCCTCAGATACAAGCAAATTCTTTTGTGAGAAAGGTTTCCTGGTTTGAAGGCTTAGAACCTTTGTCTCGTGGGACAACTTGGTCCACCTGGCATCCCTTATTTCATGTTCTGTATTCTCAGTGAGGTTAAGAAGCACCTGAGATCCTAAAAAGCCCTGTGAGGAGCCATGTAGTCGACAACTATTGGTCTCTATTCATCATGAGTAAAAGATAAAGATGAAATACACATTTCAGAGAAGAAACTAGTCTACAGGGCTAAGAGGCTACAGGGCCTCATCTACCCTTTAGACTAAAAAACTGGGCGGTTCCCAGTTAGGATTACCAGCCATTCTGATCAGTCACAACAGAGGGACCCCGACAGAAGGAGAGAACAGCATGGAACAGAACTCAAATGATTAAGAGTCCAGACTTACTGGTCCAGCTGGGACCAGAAGACTTTGTGAGACTACTGCCCAGAGACACTCTTTAAAGTTTGAGCAAAAACTATGCCCTGAGGTCACCTCTTAAGGAAATAACCGATTGACACACAAACTAAAGATACCACCTGTGAGGAAGCTGCTCCACTAAAAAAAAAATCAGCTATCTGAGACCAAAAGGTCAACAATTTTGCTAAAACCAAAGATGAGAAGCTGAGAGAGGCAGGGAAAGTAGAGCACCACATCCAGAAGGCAATCAAGGAACACAATGACACTCTGTGAAAAATGTCATTTATCCCACTGAGCAAATGTGTACAGAAACTGCCAAATGGAAGTAAAATATTCTGTGTAAATTTTCACACACACAAATACAAATGAAACAGAAAAATCACTTTGGAGCACAGTTCTGTACTGACATACAGGGTCACTGGATTGGAATCACTTAACAGCAACTGGTTCTCTCTCCAAAGTTCTTTTCAACGTTCCCTTTCAATACCTGCTGACTACTGGTCTTGTGCTGGTATTTAGACTTAGATGGAATTTACCACCCATTTTGGGCTGCATTCCCAAGCAACCCGACTCAAGGAAGACCCAGACCCAGGGCTAGCACACATATAATCATTTCAGGCCTGCTCTTCCACCATCATGCCTCAGTCATGCTGGTGGTGGGCTTCTTTTCAAGGACAGGAGAGCCTGGGCCCTGCCTTTTTTAGTGATCATTCAGCTCTTACAGCCAGACTTTCTCCCACCAGGAATTCTCTTGATCCAGAAGAGACAGGTTGAGGCTAGGCCAGGAGAGGGTCTGAGGAGAAGAACCTGATCCTATCCACATGGGAGGACACTGGACCTTCCAAATCCGCTGCCCTCCACCAGCCAGCCAACCCACCTTACCTCGGCTAGCGCAGAAGGGACCTTCTTCGGTTTCTTGAAAGTTGAGGAGTTGATGCTATGGAAGACGGATGAGAAGGCACTGCTTGAGAATCGGGGTGAGGACAGAGGGAAGCTCATGCTCACAGGCCGCTCTGTAATCAAGAGAAGCAGTATGAGAAGGGACATCGCAGTGGCCGGACAACACACTCCTTCCCTGTCAGGTCAGCATTCCCAGCCCCATTCAGATCTGAAATAGCCTCACTGAGGGAATCCTGTCTGCGACAGGTGGAAGTGACAGGGATCGAAGCACCAGGCTTCCCCAGGGTTCTGGGTCCTTCTTAAGATCTAGGGTCATTTAACAGGCATGAGGCTAGGGCTGAGTCATCTTCTCTGCTGCCTTTGGCGAGGTCCCAGGAAGCAAAGGATATAACTGTTCTTCTCCAGCCTGGCCCTGCTTGGGCAAAGCCTTACTTAAGCAAGATCTCTCCAGGGCCTGCCTGGCCGCTTCCCATGGCTCATTCCCATCTCTGAACCAGGGAAACACTTGGCTTTCAGTCTCAGCAACTTTCCTGAAAAGGCACTAGGGAACACAGACACAGAACACCCATGAAAAACGGAGGGAGTTCTACGAGCCCTGGGCACACAGCAGTTAACAGTGTTCATCCACTAAACAACAGGTCAGTGGTTTGAACCCACCCGTTGCCCTGTCGGAGAAAGACATGGTAGTCTGCTACTGCCTTAACTCATAAACACAACCTAAAACAAAATAATGAAAACGTAAAAACCTCCAGTATTTTATTTAAGAGGGACCTCTAGTGGCCTACTAGTAAGAAGCTGTGCTGTGATCCCAAAGGTATGCAGTTCGAATCCACCATATGCTCCGTGGGAGAAAGATGGGCAATCTCCTCCTAGGCAATTTATTGCCTCTGAAAACCTGCTGGAGTCAGCTATGGCCTGGTTCTGCCTGGACGGCAAACAACAATTTTATATAAGACTGTAGTTACTTTTTACATTTTCATTTATTTCCATAAATGATTAATTAATAGTGGAAAAACTGACTTGACATCAACAGGGTGTGGAGAGTAGAAGCCCAGATCTGCCCAGCCGCTCCCTGCTCCAGATCTTGAGAATGTGGAGTCAGGGGGGGAGGGTAATGAGGCTGGAGGGGCACCTCCTGTGCCCTGTGGTACTGATGCACCTGTCCCCCAGCCCTCGGCCGTGTGGGTGTCTGCCCAGCCTGGCTCCAGCCCCAAACTCTGTGCCCATCAACCTTATTCATGCAGTGTCATCTCCATGGGCTTTCTGCCGAGACCCCATTACTCTTTTCTTTCTTAATTATTATTTTAGTGAAAGTTTACAGGAAGGATGAGTTTTCATTTATTCATTGATACATTTTCCTCCCTCTGCCTTCCCCCAGTTCACTCTGTAACACGTCTTGTTCCAGATTGCCAACTGCCCTTCACAAATGTCCAATCATCCATTCCTTTCAGAGTCCCACCCTTCTCCCACTCCAGCGTAGTATCCATTACTCACCCATTCTTTCCCTGCTCTCCTGTCCCCTTTGTCTATCCTATTTTTCTAATAGTCATGCTATGCAGGAGACCCCCTTACTTTTGCTTATTTAAACTTTGCTTCTCTAGTCCCCATGTACTTGTTGAATAATAAAAAGCAGAAAAGTGGGAAAAGTAGAGTCCTGGTAATGATGGGGCAGTTCTACTTTGTCCTCCAGGATCATCGACGAGGCAGGATCAGAGACGGTGGGCTTGGCTGAGCTCTGAGTAAGACTAAGGAAAAACGGGGTATGATCTGATTCTGATAACCAGCCAATAAAAACCCTAAGGGCAACAGCAGAAGATGATCTGTACAAAGCTGGAAGAGGTGCCCCCAGGAAGGACAGAAGGATGGGCCGGAGCCCGACAATGAGGGGAAGGTGGTGGACTGGGCAATGCTTCTCTCTGCTGGGTACAGTTACGATGGGCTGGCACGGACCCTGTGGCAGCTACCACCACCATGGTACGATGAGAGCCACGATGGTGTGTACTGAACGTGGGTGACCACAGATCCCTTTTCCTGAGGCCACATCAGTTTCCCACCAGAAGCATTCTGGGAACAGGTGACATGATGTGACTTTAAATCCTTTGTTCCCTCCTCCAGGGTTGCTTTTTTCCTGAGCCTTCTTCCCTCCCTCCAGGAAGTGAGCAGCTTTCCCAGGGAAGGCAGGAAAAGGCTCACAGAGGCGGGCGTTACCTTTCATCAGGCCTGGGATGTCCCCGCCCCTCTTCTTCAGCTTCCCGTAGCAGCCATCACAGACCTTGGCCATGCGGTCTTTGAGGTACTTGAGAGGGTACTTATTTCGTGAACAGTTGCGGCACACAATCTGCAGGCCCAGGTGCAAAGAGCTTGGGAGGGTCCTTGGCCTTCCTGGTCTCCTCCTCCATCCCATCTCTTCCAGCACCACCCCCTCCATCCAGCCCTGGACAGTTGACTTGTGTCTCCTTTCTCTCCTGCCCCACGTTTCGGCGCAGGGTGACCTGCTTTGCCGTGAGTCCATGGACCTGACTGTGACTACACCTCTTCCTCCACAGACACACACCATAATCTCTGTCTGGTTGGTGCTAACTGCTCACGTACTAGCCAAATGGCGGGTTGGATTTCCAGCGAGAGGCTCCAAGGGAGAAAGGCCTCACTGGAATTCCGTACTGTCGGCCACTGCCCAGCGGGAGTGTGGCTCTGCCCTCCCCGCACGGGGCTGTTGGGATCTGGACTGACTACAGGGCCGGTGGCTTTTCCTCTGGAGGATGTGATGCAGGAGGGAATGGGCCAGATTTGGAGTCGTGGGTTGAGAACATCAATGAGGTGGGAACAATCCCCTCCTCTCGGGGATATGTCTGACACTGGGGACCTGATGGCACCCCAGCTTGCAGGCTGAGCAGGTACCCTACCCCTTCCCCACTTCAGACCAGGTTCCCTCTCCCAGCAGGAGACCTCCCAACAGGTACCCTCCTTCCTGCCCCTCCCCAGTTGGTGCCCTCTCCCAGTAGGGAACCCACCTTGCCGCAGGCGTGGCAGTGATGGCGCCTCAGAGTGAGGGAGAAGTCACAGCCACAGTTCATACACATCATGACGTGTGTGACAGGCACCAGGGTGGGGGGCCGCTCCCCTAGGTTCACCCCCAGTCGCTCCCGCATCTAGAGCAACAGAATCATTGGGGGCAGGGGTGTAGTCAGACCGATGGCTGTTCCCTTTTCTGTATGGAAGGTATGTCTGGTGGGGCGGGCTTTCCAGCCTAAAATTCAAAATCCCCGTGTGTGAGGATCCTAGCCTGGGATTAGGAAGTGTGGCTGGATTTGTAAGGGAGATCACTGTGCTTCTCGGTTGCTTGAGGCAGGGGAGGAGACGGGAGGGGAGTGGAGGTGTGCCCTCATTAGGCAGGACCAGGGATGGGACCTGGCACAAGCACACCTGGACAGGACAGGAGCCCTCCCCCCTGTACCCAGAAAGCAGAGTCCTGAGGCTGGGGCAGCTCCCACGCCCTCACCTCCATACTGTGGTGGAATGCAGCCAGGGCCTGCGCCTTGTAGTCCTCAGGAAGGGCTCTGTTGAGGCAGCTGTACCACTCATCCCTCTCTGCACAGGAGCTGCGGGCACCGGCCAGGGTGAGCGGGGGCATGCAGTGCTCCTCCCAACCCAGCATGCTCCTCAACCACCCTCACCACCTCCCAAACCAGAATGAGCGCTGGTTCTGCCAGTGCCCATGGACAGAAGCCCTTTGCCCTCTCCACCAGCCCGAGCTGTGCTGGGACCTGAAATCAAAGCATCCAGCCACCCTTCCAGACTAGTTTCAGTCTCTGCACTTAGGAGCAGCAAAGAGAGCGGTTTGCTCACTGGGACTGTTTCTCCACCCTGCTAACTCCCTGGTGGGCCAGGAGGATGAGACTGAGGTGGCCAAGCAAGTGACAGTGTCCCCTGCAGAAGCAAGGAATTACGAAGACTTGGAGTCCAAGGACATAAGAAATAAGAAATCTTCTAAAGATGTTGCGGGCTAACTGCTGCTTGGCCAGGGACAGAAGTTTGGTCACACAAAGCAGGAATAGGGGTAGAGCAGAGCGAGTGAAGGTATCTCCATCGCCCTCATTTTCCCCATAACTTCTCAGTCACTCGGCCAACACCCAGGTTTCAGAGTACCTGCAGTGTTTCCTGAGAGGTGAATGACCCCCATGGACAGAGCTTTCCAGGACGTGGAGTGGGGCTGAGCCACACACAGGCTGGAAGATGGGGAAGAATTCTCACAGTGTCCACCAGGTGTCGCCCTTGCCCTGCCCGGGGCACCTAAGTGTGCAGCCAGCTACAGGCCATGTTGGCAGAACCAGTGCTCGGTCTGGTTTGGTAAGGGATAAAGGTGACTGAGTTTGGCAGATCTTCCCTCTGTCTCTGTGGGCAGCTAGCTGTGGTGTTCCTAAAAGAAGCTCTCTGGGTATCAAAGTTCCCCTGGGAGTTGTACTGTTAGGGTTCTGGGCTAGCAAGAAGGTAAGACAGCTTCTGGCTAGGAGAAGGACAGCCCTATCCTTGGAACTCACCAAGCAAACTCTACCTTGGGCCTCTTCATGCCCTCTTTCTACCAAGAAGAGATTATGGTACATTCACACAATGGAATACTACACAGCACGTAGGAGCAACGATTTTGTAAATTACTACCTAATTTGGGAGAGACTGGAGAGCATTATGCCGAGTGAACTAACTCATTCTCACAAGGACAAATATTGTATAAAACAATTATTGCAGAAAGATTAGAAGAATCCAAGGTAGGGGGAGTGGAAGCATAGACATGAGGATGTGTGTAAGGGGGGGATTAATCATCGGATTGTACAATTTGATGGGTGAAGGGTTGAGGGAAATTGGCAGACCCTGTTCTGGAAAACAATTTATTTTAATTTTGTAAATAAACCTGTATAATTTTTTTTAAAGTAGTGTTGGTATCAATACCAATACTAGCTAATGGAGGATGCGAAAGGACTAATGATGCAAAATCTTCTAATTAATGAAGTTAATATATAGAAAATTATCTCAAACGAGAATAATGCAATAGAATGAGGGTTAGAATGCTGACAAATTTCATTTTCTTCTATCCTTTCTTTATACAGAGGGTATAGCTAAGTCTAATGTTTTATATCAGGCTTACAGAAAACTGGATTGGTGCTATTATTAAAGAAAAGTATTTACTCACTTTATATTTCTGTCTTTATACTTGAACTGATGGGAGTCTGTTTGTGGACACCCAATACCTGATTCCTTACACTAAAAATAACCTAAATGTCAAATATGGAAAAGGTCAGACACGTTTTTATATAAAAGGCAGAATACCATGATATCATGAAAATCATTAGTACAGGGACTATACTGCCACATGGAAAGATAGAGAAATTCCAATGAAAAGAATATAAAATGTACAGTAATTACAATTAAAAAATATTCATTTTGAGACTAATAGTAGGTAAAACCTTAATGCTATAGATTTGTCCTGTAGGAAATGTTTTCATTAAATTAAAATTCGGTTCCATCAGTTTTTTAAAAAAACTTCTGTGTTCTTCTCTAATAACTTCACGAATTAACTTTTGACTGTTTCATTATTTCATGTGTATGCCTTTTCTCAGTTCATATTTTTATCAAACACTTGAAGTGGTCTTTTTCTTTTCCATTCCTTTCTTTACAGGGCTGTGTTCACAGATGCTAATACTGTTGAATGAACTAACTTTCTCTCTGGGGAGATTACTTTTTTTTTAAAAGAAACTATAGATCAGGAATAAACAACAAGTACACAGAATAAGTGAAATCACTCACCGATATGCTTCTTAAACTCGGACCAAAAATTATAGAAACGGAACACTAATTTTTTAAAAACTTTTGTTTTCTCTTTCCACAAAGCATCTGAGCCTCTCGTGAATAAGACTATTCTTATTCAATTTTGGGGGGCACTGCTAACTACCGAACAGTGGGTGCACACTAATTTTGAATAAACAGGTCAATTCAAGAAAATTAGCTCTCTTGAAAAGCAACTTAAAAATCCGCAAGTGGAGAGCGCCACTTTCAGAAACAAGAAAAATGTGTTGGGAAAACTCAAATATGATGATGATCCCTGGCTGGCATATTTAACTGACAAAACATAGGCACGGTGCACGGCAGATTATTATTAACAAGCATTCAACAAAGCATTCAGTTCCGATGTGAGTTCCAGAACAGGGTTCATTCAACTCTCGCCTATTGAGAGGATGCAACAGACACTAGCCCTCCAGGGTCCATAAAGAGAATTCGGAGAGGAAACCAGGTTCGCGTCAAGTTATTTCCCATGACTGTCACTCCTCTCCCGCCACCCCAGTGACTTTTCGGGAAAAGGCGTTCGGGGCCAAGGTTCTGGGGTTTCACCTCCACACCCCCACTCCCCCCACCGCCCCCGCCACTGTCCCGCCTCCGGGCGGCACTTACTGCCGGAAAGGGCCTTGGAGACAGCAACTACTCCCGCCCCGTGCGCCAGACGCCAAGGAAAGTACTTGGAGGCTGCCTGCAGTAGTCAGGCTTCCCAGAACCTCCTGCTCTCTATGTAGCTGTGCCCGAGGTCCCAGCCGCTCCGTTGCCTCGGGGGGAATTGGCACCAGTAACATGGGGAGAACTCGCTCCATGGTTTCGGACACGCAGCAGCCACCAGCGGCGGCGGCACTTCCAGGCGTCTACGAAGCAGCCATCTTAGTACATCCATTCCTTCCGGTCACCTGCACTCGCTCCGCCCTATCCCGATTCCTTCCGCTGGGGGGCGCTACTGAGCATGCGCGTTAGCCTGCCCGCTGCTTGTCTCGTGACGTGGGCCAGGCAATCTCAAATGTTTTGTATCAGCCCACGTTCTCTCTCTTGTGGGCAGTGTTAGTCACTGCAGCTCATTATATACGTAGTTCGTAAAGCTTCCCTTCAGAATTGTTCACCAGGTTGGAAGGAGCATTCTTTAAAACTACTGGCAGCTCTGGGGTGACAAATGGTATTTTTACCAAGTATGTCATGTTGAAATCATGATGGATGAAGATTGAGATTGTTCACAGCTTTAGTTTGCTTAGCTCCACCATCAACACTCTTGGCACCAGTAGCCAGGAAATTAAAAGACGTATTGCCATGGGAAAGTCTGCTGTTAAGGACATTCCAAAGTTCTGAAGAGCAATGGTGTCTTCCTGGAGACTAAGGTGCGTCTGATACAGGCCATGGTCTTTGCAATCACTTGTTATGCCTTAGAGAGTTGGACAATGACTAGGGAGGATAGAAAGAGAATTGATGCCTTTGAGCTGTGGTGTTGGAGAAGAGTATTGAATGTAGCATGGACTGCTAAGAAAACAAACAGATTCATCCTAGAGAGGGTTAAACCAGATGGCTCCTTGGAGGCAAGGATTCTGAGGCTTCGTCTAACATACTTTGGACATGTTGTAAGGAGAGACTGGTCCTTGGAGAGGGACATCATGCTTGGTA